TTTATTTTATACTTTATTTATTTTTAAATTGTTAGGTTCTTGAGGAATCTAACAGAGCAAATATCTAAAATTTCTTTTCAAATAAAATTTGCCTAACCTTTAGGCATGTCAATCTAGTCCCTTAAAAGTTTAGCAATTTTTATAGGAAATAAATATTTGTTAGACGAATTTCCGCATTCATCAAAGTTAAAATTATGTAAAACTATTACATTAAAAGTGGAAGTTTGTATATGAATATTATATCAAGCTACAAGTTTTTTCTAGCATACAAAACAAGTTACATATTTGTATGCCTACAGGCAAGTCAGCAAAATCTCTAAGGTTGAAGGTTTTATCCGTTAAATCAGAAATAGTTGCAAACAAACTTGAATACTATAATAAAGTAGTGCAAGGTAAATATGCGGAGCTGCCATCAAATTGAATGTAGAAGGAAGCCAAACCGGGAAATCAACTTCTTATATGTCTAACAGCTCTAAACTTGAAACTATCAACGTATACCCCCTGCCCTTCTCTTATAGGGTAACACTGCACTGTGCGTAACAGCGCGGAAACGTTTGATAACGCCGCGCGCATAAAAGTATGCTAGAAAAAGCAAAGGCAAAGGCAAAAGCAAAGGCAAAGGCAAAGGTGATGCTATCCTATGTTCTGCTCTCTTCCTCTGTTCTCCTATTCGTGCTCGTGTGCTCCGTCGGTCGTAGCATAAGCACAAACCAAAGGCGGAAGTAAAAACGGCAGCGAGCAGACAAGACAATGAAATTGTCATAAATAACAACGCTCTTTAGCAACACCAAACACAGCAATGACCAACCAGCCGAGTGATTTCCTTTCTCGGCTCCCCACTCTCTCTCGCCCTCTCTGTCTCTTTGTATTGTTGCCTTGCTGCCCATATTTCGTTCAGCTTTCATTTTTTGATAGTGGCTCAACTCTTTTGCTTTTGACATTTCTGTGTGCCCCAAAGGGTATTTAGAGGGTATATTAAATTGGCGCGCTGAGGAAGTAGATAACATTAGAGCCACGGCGCTCGGTTGGCCACTTGGCCGGATTTCTGATTCGCAGAGCATTCTGCAACACTGGCGGACCCCACGTTCCTTGACTTCATTCAACATTAATCCATAATGTCGAGCTGTCAAATAACTGTTGCACAACTGTTCTTACAGCGAAAGGCTTTCTAAGCAGTTGACTCCGACACAGCTTATCAATTATTTCAAAATAAACTGGATTCATCCATATTGATTAGAGTAGAATGAGAAATGAATAGAGGACCCAGGTAAAATGAAGGCGAAAGTAGAACTTGTTAAGAAGCAAGTAAAATACGTAAGGTTTTTCGAGACAAAATTTAACAACAGTTTATTTTCAATATTTTTGTTTTATATATAATTAATTTACAAATATAAATATAAATGAAGAAAATAATAGAGAAAAGATTTTCGATTAAGTGTGCAAATGAAAGATATAATAGATCTGCAGGGCATATGTAGAATATTATCCATTATATTAAATATCGATAAATATCGGGTTATCATATCGAAATAAACCAATTGAACGTTCTATAGGGCCTCTTTATGCAGGGTATTTGGCTGGCCGTTCACTTAGCTCTCTGCCACTGTCATCAGTTTTTGTTATCCTTTTATTATAATACTTTTCTTGTTTACTTTTTTTTTTTTGCTCTTTTCCTTTTTTTTTGTGTGTGGTTCATGGCTCGTTCTCATAACGGAAATTTCAATGGCTGCTGCTTAAAGTGACTTTTGTTCAACTTTGCGCTCAGCTATCCAAATAGACGAGCACTCGTAGCACTCATAGTTATCTAATCGAGCTACCAGAGGACAGGGAGCAGTCGCATTAAACTAATGTTTAGTTGCTTTCGTTACAGTTTTTGAGTGTCGACCCTCGAAACTTTGTCAGTAAATCGTGGCACGTGATGGGGGCACGAGCCGGGGCGTGACAAGGCGAATCGCTTCCCATGCTGTTTTTTACTATTCTTTTGCTTTGTATTGAATTGGATTTTATGGGCTGTGACAGTTTTGTGCTGCGAATGCTTTCCAGATACTTTCACAAATATGATTGGGCATAACTGTGGGGCTAAGTAAATTAAAGTCTTTCTCTGCTTGGGTATTTAATTAGAAATAGCTGAAAATGCCCACCCTCGCTGCGCTTACGTACGCCTCCGACTAATAATAGCCCTTTCACAACCTACGAGGACCTGCACTTCAATTTCAATTGGCTTTTGTGCTGTAATGCCCAGGGACAATGCAACAGGGTGGCTACTGAAGATGTTTATTTGCACGGCTTTACAAAATGGTTGACGGCGGACAGTGCGCAATAATGCTGCAAATTGCGTGTAGTGTTGAGCAACAACTACAGCAATAACAACAACAACAACAGCTTAATTAGTGGTCAGCTCTTTTGTTCATCAGCAAATTGGCAGTGGAACCAATTGCCACAGCTATTATGTTGAGGAAACAAATATGATCAAATTACATCGCTGGCAGCACTTGCAGATAAATGGGATGGCTTATCCGAAGGCATTTAATTGCGAGCTGTTACAGCTCGAAGGAGAAAAACTTAATGGTGCGGGGTTCTTCTTTTTTATAAATCAATATGGAAAGCAGTTTAAGAAGGAAAAAGACTATTCCTTTAAACGCAGCTCCAGTATGGCTGGACAACCCATTCACTGCAAATATTATATATGGCCATCTATTGGAATTATAGCCAAATGATTTACTTATGAGGCTTTGTAGTTGATTTGAATTATATGAAAAGATTGACAGTGTGATTGTGGCGATGATAATTGCAGTACTTGCTCATAATACTAAATAAATTCACCTTAAAAACAAGTAAGAAAGCTCTAGTCGAGACTCTAGTCGAGACTGAACAAAAACCGAAATTGTATAAAATACATATAAGTCTACATTTAAAATTTGGAAGTCCTAGCTCTAGAGGTGTAAGAGATTTAATTAAATAACTAGCTTTCGATAAGGTTTTTAATCGACAATAAAATATCGGGAGTAGTTATCGGTATTTAGAGGTTAGAGGTTCATAAATACGGACGGACAGACAGACATACGGACAGGGCCAAATCGACTGATCAAGAATATATATACTTTGTGGGGTCTGCCACGCCTCCTTTTGCCTGTTACATACATTTCAATAAAACCATTATACCTTGATTTTTCATTTTCATTAGGTTCAGGGCATAATGAAGAGAAGGAATATATAGTTGACTTGTTACAGCATTGCACGAGATTTCGCTTTATGTTGTCAATGATAGAAATTTGAAGTACGTTTTGCTCTTTTCAACGAGTACTGATTCCGATTCTCTGATCGGATTCATTTAAAACTAGCACACGTTAGTCCATGTCTACTTAAACATAATCATATATACACTGCAAAATTGATTTTACGAAAGTAACATTCGTAAGAGGGGGAAATCGTAAATAAAAACCCCCATTAGGGTATTCTTAAATTAACATTAATTAGGCAACATTTAGTGGCTGTGTTAGGTAACAGCTGCTAAAGAGCGTGCTGAAAAATCGAAGCATACTTTTTAGCTAATATAAATACATTTACATATATTCATATATATATTTGTAATAAATTACTTGATAATGCAGAAATGTAAATTTAGTAATTTTCAAATTTGTTTTCAATTTAATTTTTTATAAATATTGAAATGTTTTATAAATGGATATGAAAATCAAAAATCAATTAAAGTCAAATGTCAATATGTTAATGTTATGGTATTCTATTTACAAAACTGCCCTACATTAAGCATTCATTAATTCGCTTTCATTTGCATGTTTCACAATTGCTAATTTTGCCAACATTGTAGTATATAAAAGAAAATGAAACAAACGTAAATACTCATGCGAATTTCTCTTTTAATCTCTTCTTATATCTTCTTTTTTAATACCGCACAGCAAAAATGCAATTACGCATTTAATTTAAATAAGGTTTTTTTTTAAATAATAAAAAAGGCGAATCGTACACCACATATAAATGCGTAATGCAAATATTTAAATAAAATTTAAACCAATAAGAACAAGCATATATACAAAATAAAATTGATAAACCTCATAGAAAACCCAACAATAACGAAAGTGTTCATAATTATAAAGAAAAATGTAGTTAAAAAACAATAAATAGAAATAAAATTAGTCAAATATGTTAAATACAAATTGCCAGCTTAAATTGCATCTGTATCTTTGTATCTTTTCTCTGTATCTCTTTGCATCTAAATAACACTCAATTAAACTCAAACTCAAACTAAACTAAACTAAACTTTGCTAATTAATAACAAAAATGCAAACGCAATTTCAACCCAGATCAAAAATATCGAAAATACCAATTCAAATTCGATTCAGTCAATCAGCCAAGCTACCAGCCAATCATCAATTGCAACTGCCATTTAATCATTCAGCAACATCCGCAACAACTACAACAACAACAAAAGCACACACAATAAATGCAACAACAAATGGTAATAATAATTAAATAAATCCTAAACGCACGTCATTAAATTCACCACTTAAACCGAGTTTAAAATCAATGAAAACCAAACAAAACGAAAAGAGCTGAAAAAATAAAACAAACCATAAACAAAAAATAGCCATAAAAATATTTTTGAAATAATTTCTCAATTAATTATGGAACATTCATCAACATATTTGTTGTGTTTGTTCCATTGCCAAAACGAAAAGGCCATCGCCCGCTTCCAGCTGCAGCCAACAAAGCAACAACAACGACAACCACTGAGGCAAGTTAATAGCGAGACAACAAAAGCAATCCAACAACAACTGCAACTGCAGCAACTCAACGCACGTCACTCAACACTTTCGCTGGGTAAGTACAACAAATATCCTATCCACAAAAAAAAAAAAAAAAAGATGAGCGCACATTCCCAAATAAAAATTTGGACTCTGCTAAGTTAGCGAAATGCACAAATTTAATTTGCACACAATTTTCAGTGCAGTCAACTTCCAAGTGGAAATCATAAAAACAAATTCCAATAGAGCGCACTTTGAATACTCTAGAAAATTATGAAGATTGGATAGAATATGCTCAAAGGAAACAACATTAGCATAAGAAACTTGGGATATCTAATGGGAGAACTAATGTGTGAATATATGTACATATGTTAAGGCAGATGTTATAGATACATAGATATGTGAACCGAATCGAGTGACTTTAAAAAATGAGGAAGATATATTTAAATAGGCAAGGGGCGAATCGAATTGAAGGATAATTATGATTACCATCTTTTACTATATATTTACATCGCATACTTATTCCTACATATATAAATGATTTCCCATTTTCAATGGGCTCAGGGTATATAAATGAGCTGTTATATGTTCCCAGATGGAAGCAGACAGATATACAATACCAATAAAGTTAAATTGGCGTGACTTCTCATTCTTTTGAATTATTCCACTTATAGATCTACCTACAGTATACCTTAAATTGAAATTCAAATGCAAAGAAGTGGGGAAATTTTGGTATAGTGGTTCTTTGTAGGGCTTAGGGGATCTCGTAGTTGATCGATCTCGAAGAGAAATTAATATAATAATAGTATATTTTTTGAGGCTATGCAAAACGAACACAATACATTCAGGTTAGGTTATGAGATCAACTAATGCAGATAAAGTTCTAACGAATATTAAAGGTCTCGTCTGACTCGTTTCGGAAATGAAATGAATAGCAGATATTTTTCTCCCAGCTATCTCTAAAACATCATGAAGATTAATTTTTTTTTTTTTAATGTGAGAGATTTCCTGACATCAATTTTAGTGTTGAGTTGTTATAGCATGGAGAAGGGCTTGTCGAGCGAGCGTCGCCCACCAATCAAAAACGGGCTGAAAATACATTTTAAAAGGCGATAAAGCAACTGGCAACTGCGACGCGCCGTCGCTCATTGCAGTAGGCAGCTGGCAGTTGCAATTGCAGTTGATATTTTTTGACTGTTATGAATTTTGTATTAGGTCCATGCGAAAATCCAATAAAAATCACCGAAAGCAATTTTCGTTAGATGCACAAAAAACAGGAATAAAAGAAAGATTGGAAGAAAAACAGGAGATTGGTTTGATGGCTGTAGTACGATATTTTTTTATTTTTGTTTTTTTGCAACTCCTGCGAATGATTCGCATTTAAGGCGTTTTTCAAATGTTGCAAGAGTTCTTTTTTAGACACGCCACACACCACACACCACACGCCACACACTGTACACATACAAAAGTTGAGCAAAAATTTGTTGCAATTTATCGTAATGGATTCGCAGGGGAAACGTGTTTCGACACGTTGTAATTTTTTTGTCGCCCTTGCGCTGCCACCAAACGAATGTTGCTTAATTTGCTTTTTATTCCAGGGGAAGCAAAAAATACCCAAAAATGCGAGTCATTTGTAGAAAATGCTATTTTTTGCCCTGCTGCTCGTTGTTCGTTGTGAGCAATTTTGCTTCACTGTGAAAAATAATTGCTTCTCATTGAATGCTCAGCATCGATTTTACGCTGAAAATTTTAATTTGTTCATCATTAAATAAAGAGGGCTACTTTAAAGCGCTTTCCATCTGATTCTACTTTAAAGCGCTTTCCATCTGATTCTCTATCATTCATCTACGAAAAATTTGTTCGCTTCCATAAAGCAAGAAAAATATTAAAGCGAAATGAGTTGTTATAGCGAAAGGCAAGAAAACTCATTTTAATTTAAGTAAATCAATATTCAATAATTTACTAGCCAAGTCAGACGTCAAAGCATCTTTTCTGAGACACTTTTATAGAACATTTTTTATTGATTTCTATTGTTATTTAACTCAGTAAATATTTTATTGGCACATTCAAAGCAAAATTCATTTTCTTTTTTCTTTTTTTTTTTTTTTTTGCGCAAAATAAATTGAATTGGCAAGCTGATCGATTGAATATAATTCAATCTTTCAATTATTGATGCTATTTCGGTATTAAAAAAGCTATCGAATTTTATTTCGACCAAATTTCTTAGAAGATAGAATTGCCTTGGCGGTTATAAAAGAATATATACATATTTTTTGGTAAATTTTGGTAAGTTGAGGCGTGATATATGATGCTGCTGTAACATAAATCTATTTAGGTTATTTTAAAATTAGAAAGACAAAATTCTTTACAAATTGTCATTTCAACCATGCTATTTAAGAATTTAATTTAATTTTAATTCTATTTATTTTATTATATTTTTCTTTAATATACATTCTGATACATCATACATTCTTGATTCCTCACGAATATTTATTAATTAACACCTTTGTGCGAGGAATCGCCGTTATTTACGTTTACGCATTTCTCGAACGCTCGTATTTCCGTTTTTAAAAAGGGCATCATCTAATTTAAATGCAGAATAGCGTGCTGGTCAGCTGGTGGGCCAGTCAGTCAGTCTGTCAGGCTGTCGGGCTGTCGGGCTGTCGGACGTTTGTCATTTTGGCTGAAAAGTTCATTTCCCCAGTTGTCAACAGTTTATAATAGTTTTTGCCTTTGTGCGCCCGGGCCAACCAAGCGAACCGAAACCGAACCGCTCCAAACTAAACCCAGCTGCAGCAAGAGTTAGTGGGGATTGCCATTTGTTTGATGTTTCACTAGCAGTAAGCGTGTGTGTGTGTGTGTGTGTGTGTGTGTTTGTGTGTTTAGCTAGCCATTTCTCCATGTCTGGCACTGTCTCGGGGTCTATCTTTCAATTCCAGCTGGTTTATTTCATTGCTGCACAGGCAACTGTCCCATGCAAATCTGCTTTGCTGATTAAACCTAAATAATGTTGAGCGCTTCCTTTGCTGTGGCTGGCTTCAGTCTCAGTCTCAGCCCCGCCTCGCAGCTCCTTTTGTTTGCATGATGCTTTAAGAGATCCAGCATCTGCTGTTTTATGGCCGAATGCCACAGTGTATAATGGCTATGTGATTAGGCCTGCCCGCTCGCACCAGCTCGCTGGGGAAATCACGCTAGGCCAAAGCAAAGCTAATGCTTTACCCATCACATCAAATATTTGCTTATTGAAACCGAATTGTATAAAAAATTCAGTTCAAAGTTACTAAAAGGGGTTGTCTTTAAAGTGCAATCAGGATTATTAATATATTAATTTCCTGCTTCAAGTATAGACAGTAATGCATTAGCTGTTCCAGTCACAATTTAATAAGATCTGTAAAATTATGAGAGTAATTTAAAGTTATTTTCATCTTCTTCATATCACGATTAATGATATGATGCACAATAACTAATTATTTTGTTTATTGTGTGTTATTGTTACAGAAAAAGGAACCGATTGATTCTAGACATAATAAATAAATGTTAATACATATTTTTTATTGAGCATTTAGTTATTTTATTTACAATACAATATATTAAAAAACCATAAAAAGAAAAGTTATTTGATTTATTATTATTGGTCATTGAAATTAATAATATTGATTAATTTTTTTTCTAACATTCTTAAGTAGCTATACCATTTGCAATGAGTTACAAATATGAAACAGTCTTTGCCAAATATATTTTATTTTATATTTCATCCTAATTTGTTATGTCTTAGCATCATAAAAGCTTAGTTAGTTGTAATTTTGAATTTTATGTTATGCTAATATATACAGGACCTTACATGGTTGTCCATAATCGACGGACTCATCGGGCAACCTTACAAGGTTTTTCACTTAGTTCGAGTAGATTTCTTAACAACTACAAATGGCAGCCTTGAGTCTGTACGGCGTAGTTTTGAAAGATGTATGACTCCCCATATCTTGTGCATCAATTTATATTCTTTCATACACATCTCAACATCTGGATCTATGCGAAAATTTTTGCATAGAAAAAGTATATAGCCTAGATATTCTATAGAGGAGATACGTACGTACGACTTCGCTTATAGCGTCGTTATATGAGAAAAGTTGTACGGTTAGAGCGTTTTCCGGGTATAACGACGGTCCCTATTTACAACCGGATTCTCCTGTATTTATATTGGTATCTTAAAACTTCAACAAGTAATCAAATATACTCAGAACTGTAGAACAACTATTGGAAGAAGTTTAGCTGAAATACATGTACCCAGTTGAGTCCATTCAGCATATCTACATTCACTTTTAGCCCCTATAAGAAGCTGCTTCTAGAAGGCTGCTTGTTATGTCAAATTCGTTAACATCAACTGTATCCAGCGGCAACTCAATCATTTGGCTAAGCTCTAGTTAAACTCTTTTTCATTTCGTCCTTGCCAGACAAGGGCATTAAAAAGTTGTCATGCAGCTGCAGCTGGTTTTTTGTTCATTCACGTTTTTACCTCTTGCTAAATCTGAGACAATTTTCAACTTATAAGAGGCCTGCCTGCATTTGTATAATAACACAGTTGAGCTGCCGGTTGCAACCGGCTGCTTCCGTTGCCGTTCCCGTTGCCGTTGTCGTTAGTGTTGTCCTCGTGTCGCCGTATGTCCTGGCAGCCTGCCTGCCTGCCTGCCTGGCCACTTGTTGTTGCATAGCTTTTCTGTTTTCCTTTTTATTTATTTTTCTTTTTTGTATGGCAATGGCTTGTGCTTTATTTCCCTTTTAGCCTGCTGCACGGCTGATGCTGTTGCACGTAGCACAATTTCAATTTAATTTCTGTCTGGGCCCTTCGGCTGCGTCCTGCCCGTTGCTCGGCCATTGTCTCTTGCTTTGTTTGCAGTGCCATTTCCTTTGCGCCAACATGAAATTAACTTGTGTATTTGTAGTCGTATATGATACTCAACTGCAACAACAACAGCAGCCGCAGCAGCTGCCCAAATAGATTACAGCTGCAGATGATATCTGATATCGTTATATGAAATTCATGTGTTAAATTTTTGCTCTTTCGGTCAACAGTTTAAT